GCCCCCCCAGGACCCCACTAGCTACGCCCATGTGCCCTTTTCAACTTGTTTAACAGTGGGGTTATCATAGCAGCCTTGTTGCTTATGCAACATTCCAAAATAATTTTCCAGCATATTATCTTGGCTGAGAAACCTTGCTCTCACATGGGTGATTTCATATCGCTCTGCTAATCCCTGCACCAACAGTAGAAGGAACAGTTTAGGCTGCTCGTGAATACCGGGCAAAAGATAGGTCTTCCTCTGGAATTTGTGTTAAGTACTGATACTCGGCAATGGCATTAGTTTACGAAGGAACCTATAACTTTGAGGCCCATGATATAATAAAGATGTTGCAAAATATTTCATATCATCAGACCATGGCATACCTTTACTGCTCTTACACTTGTTCAACCTTAACTGGGCTTCCAGCAATCTGTTTATCGTTGGGTTGAGGAGAACTTTCGAAGCTGCAACAATTTCTTCATGGGACACGGCAGGAGCCTTCTGCTTTTTCCGCTCCAAACGGTTCTTACGAGCACGCAATCTATGGATGGTTTTCTTCTTCTCTACCAATTGAGCTTTTAGGTGTGTGACACTCTTCGATGAAGCTCTCTTTGATGCAGCAACCTCCTGTCCTGAACTCGTCCGTGACAGCGTGCATACGGCGCCAGTCAAAACCCCTAGATGCATCTAAACGTGTTCGTCGGATGTGCGCGTAGCATATGCAAATAATTGAAGGCGTTTTGTAATTCCTTAGTCCTAAAGTGACTAGGTGCATGTCGCCAGCGAGACGCGAGTGTAGCTGTAGGCATGGTAGACTAGGATCATTTTTTTTATATATAATAGTAGTAAAATTAGAGAAAAAGTAGGATATTGCAACGATGTGCTGTCCATCTAAACAATCAAATCAGCCTAAAATTACACAATACAAACAAAATAATTCCGGAAAAACTGTGGAAAAAGAAATATTTGCAAACCAGGACGTTCCATGATGTCAAGACTCTAATTTTTAACCGGTAAATTAAGGAAGGAGAGTAAGGAGACAGCGGAGTTGGTGCATGCGTCAGAAGTTTGCGATTTAATTACTGCTCTGTAAGTAAAATCTCGCGACAAACACGATAATGCCACTGGGTTTCTCTGAAAGTTCAGGCCGTAATGGAAAGTATACCCACGCTACTTGAGAGTCCACCTCTAAAACTAGTGAAATTCTCCCTGCACAGATCGGGAGAAAATACATCAGGAGGGTTATACCTTTTTGTTTTGGGGACTCCAAAGTTGGAACAACGGCAACCCTAGCTAATGTATTCGCTCTTTATCTGTGCATGGAAAGTTTGACTAAATATAGAGGTGGACTCTCAACGCAGCGTAACCCCCCCCCCTTCCCCCACCTCCCATTAGGGCCTAAACTTGGAGAGCTTTTTTGAGCTTGGAAGTTGATTTCAGAGAAAAACAGTGGCGCGTGCATCGTGTTCCTTGCGAAATTTTACACAAGGAGAAGTTCTCAAAACGCAAATCCCTGGTACATGCAAGAACTCCACTAAACGAAATGAAAAGATGAGCTGTTACTGCGAAACCGAGGCTCACGAGACTTAGTCCAATTCTAACTTTATCCCCGCGTTGAAAATGAGGTCGTAAACATCTCGGCGCGTCCCGGTTTTTCAAATTTTCCCTCTTTTACAGCCTCCCCGAATTAAGTTATTCTTTAGTGTGCAATCGAGCTGCAGTAACGCGTGGATATCGGCAGAGAAAACATTTCGTCTCTTTTTCTTCGAACGTGGAAACCCGCACTCTTCCGGCCACGGTTCGCGCCTTTGTAACGAGAAGCAAGCGGACCCGGATTGAGTAAGAGGGGGCTCCTCGCCGCACAGTGGTCTGAGCCGGCGGTGGAGATCGGACACGAGATTTTTACTATAACTGAAAATTTTCATGTTGTATTTCGTCATTCTGCAAATTTCAAGGGGTGCCCTTTGTTGGAAAGTTTTCGAAATAACCGATGGAACCATTCTTGAACTTGTACGTTTTGTATAGTACCGAGCATACACTGGAAAAAAAACACATTGGATCTAGAGTCCAAACTCTCGAAAACATCGACAAGAAAAAATACTCTCGATTCAATCGGATTTTTGCTTGAATCAAAACGAAATCCGCTAAAATTAAGAGGCTTGGTTCTTGATTTAAGCTTCAATCTGATTGAATCAAGATTACTTTTTCTTGTCGATGTTTTTAAGAGTCTGGACTGTAGATCCAATGTGTTTTTTTTCCAGTGTGTCCAAGAAATTTAGTTGCTAGCGTTTGATACCCAGTGATGTTAATCCATTAACCATATACGTCCAGTAGATCTACTAGATTCAATCAGATTTAAGGTTAAACCAAGAACCAAGCCTCTTAATTTGAGCAGATTTCCTTTTGATTTAAGCAAAAATCTGATTAAATCAAGAGTCTTTTTTTTGTCAATGTTTTCAAGAGTCTGGACTCCAATGTGTTTTTTTCCCAGTGTGTAGAGGCTTTTAAAGTTTCCCTATCTTGTCCAACTTTTCCCACTGGTCCGCTCCACCGTGCGCTGTGCCCGCGGCGTTGGATCGGAAATCCTCCGGGACCGGGCGCGATTGTCTTCAGGACGAGGCGCGGCGAGCAGCGAGCTGCCTATCTAAATAATCGGCCGGAAATGGGACTCCTCACAAATATCCGAGCCCAGATTCCGAAACCTACGTCGTCGTTTCGGTTTTTCAGGGGCCTCGATTCGAACGGATATGATCCACGCAGGAGGTGTATTTTTTTTTACGTAAATTTCGCAAGTTGATGAAGTTCTCGAAAGATTGGGAGCCGGCTCGAAAAAGTCAAGGGAGAGGTTTCCAAAAAAGGTATTTTCGTTTTAAGGAACCCGAGGAATCAATTGAAATTGTTGGTCAAAGTCTTTAAATAAATGAGTAAACATTATATAAATTGCGCAATGATTTATTAACTTCTTCTGAATCACGAGCTAAGACATTCTCACAGAAAGGATTTCAAAAAATATAACCTAAAAAATTTAGACAAAGAGAAGGAGGGAAAAGGTAGGCGACCAATCACAGGGTTGTATTGCTAGCATGACAGGGCTGCAGCAAAAGAAAACTAGAAGTTTGACATAATACCAACTTGCGGGATGAAGACTAATGTTTGGCATCATAATCAACAGAAATGTTGGTAAAATAAAAAGCTGGTCTCTGCGATCCAGCAGGTAAAGGCACACACACAAAAAAGGCATTTACACGCTCAGGCTCAGAGGCGCATTTTCACATTGAATTTTTTTCATATTGCAATGCTCTATCGCCAATTTTTTCTGTAATTCAAGCTGTGACTTTTACCGAAGTCTTGTATCAAAATTACAACTCGCTCAAGTCCTCACGAAGTCTCGAGGTTCCCTGAAAAAGGGTGAAAGAGAGGCCCCTTTTGGGACTTTATTTAATCGTGATGCTTGGGGCCAGGGGAACTCGGGAAATGTAGGAGCTCACTGAAGACTGGAATATCAGGAATTTTAGGAAATAAATTGCGGAATCGATGTCAGAAACCAGTGATTTTATTGTTTAACTGTTCTG